CAGCCCTACTACTGTAGAGGAAACAGTCCCTATTTCAGTAAGAGCAAAACTGGTTCAGTTATTTCTCTGACAGAGTTGGCATGGACATAGATTGTCTGCAGCTACTCATGTTTGATAGGCAATTAATTCTGCATATGGAATAATGGCCAGTCTTGGTTGGTCACTGTCTTCTAAAGATGCAGGCAAGACAGGAAAGCCAGCTAAGATTTTTAGAGATACGATGCAATTGCTATTTGAGAGATTGTGAAGACTCTTGTATTTAAAGAATGAAAGTTAGATTTGACTCAAGTATGTAAATTGAAGGCAATACTGGAAACTGGTTTTTCCTTTCATGTTGTGGGACAGAATGAAATTGAAGTCTCTTTCAACTAAGAGAAAGTGCAAAATACACCCGCTGTCAGGTGTGCTGAGCACATTCCCTCGGTGGTGTATACCACTAAAATACATACCTTTCCAAATGCTTAATACTTGCAGCCTTTAAATAAGGTAGTCAGTTTTTAAAAAGCGAAATCTAGTATTGTCATTGCAAATACTTGACCCCTGAGCAGCTTGGTTTCCAGCCGTGGCACATGCTGTAGGTGTTACCGTGCTCAGTGAAGTTGAGTAATCTGATCTGCGTTTGGTAGGACGTTGTGATGGGACCTCCCATTATTGCATGAAGCAGATTAAGCACTCTGGTGCTTACAATTATTGGAGCAGTAAAGCAGCATAATGAAATCCCTTTATTCTCATTATTAGTTTTGACAGTATATACTGGGCACACATATTAGTGTGTGCTCCCATTTGCTGGGGCTTTTTCATGACTGGACAGACTAATAAAAATACCAGTAGAAGGCAGAATCTTTTGTTCAAGCAGCAAATGACAGTGTCAAGTGATGTGAGAACAAATAGACGTTCTGTTTTGTTTGTCATAACATGAAATTGTTGAGGCACTGGAAATACTTTTTGGAATTTTATTTTTCAGTAACCAAAGCAAGATTGCAGCGGTATCAGATGTCTGGGTAATACAAATTCATTAGCACTTCCTGCTGTCTTGCTCAGAAACAGTGAAAAACAAATGTAACACCTGCTGAGAAATGCATCTGCTTGGAAATAATCTGATGCAAGTACTTTGGCTAACTTGAGAAACCTAAGAGACTTGGATCTGCAAATGAGGCTTTGAGTATTATAACAGTGAAAGAAGAGCAGTCTCATTAAGGACTTCAACAGTTGCTTCCCTTGATAAATCTTGATACCAAAGAATATTTAAAATTGGTGTCTTAAGCATTCAGTTACCACTTACAATAATACAGTTTACTTAAAAAAATGTAGACCTGGAATTTCTTAAATTCATTAATACGTTACAGCACCTCTCCCTATCTTGCTTTAATTCCTCAGAAATGGAACTCTTGAAATAAGAGCAAGAGCATGCCTTTGAAGAAAAAACCTTAAAATATAAGTGTCTTCATATTATGCAGAGGTGTAAAAAGCAAATATTTGTCTTTCACTAACAGTATGAACTTACTGGTAAACTGAAATCCATCTTTTTTTGTCATTAAAGAGGAAGAGACTTGCTAGTGTGTTGATTGAGTGCAGACTGTGGGAGAAGAAGGAATATTAATTTAAAGACTGTATGATGCATCCTTCAGTTGAACAGCAATGTGGGACTAACATTGTGCAGTAGGCTCTTCAGATACTAGTTGCTGAAACTTGCTTCTTGACTCCTGTTTCATCCCAGTCCTAGATGTTTATTATGTTCATCCATGTGACTGTCATAACATTTAGAGAGTGTTCTGACCTACCACTAGTAATCTCCCTTCTCCTTCCTTTCCAAAAAGTGTGATGAACTTAAAGAATTACCTAATTTATATGTGAAAATTAGTCTTCTCTACTCTGAGGTTTTTCTAATTTTGAAAGAAAATGTGGCAAGTTGAAATAAGAGTTTTGCTGTTTATATATGGTAATAGCAAAACTTCAGTTTTGGTGAGTGGTTGAGTTCTTTAAGTTGAAATTTGCAAAGAGTTGTGTAATCCTTTTCATTCACTTTTTTTTTTTATAAAAGCTATTAAAGACTATGAGACAGCTCAATCCAATAGTGAAAATGACCAGCAGATTCGAGAGGGGCTAGAACGTGCCCAGAGGATGCTGAAGCAATCACAGAAGAGGGATTACTATAAAATCTTAGGAGTAAAAAGGTGAGATATTAATATCTGAGATGATGATGTGAAAGTTAGTTATTAAACTACTATAACTGGGGCTGATCACTTGAATTTGTTCTGCTGGGTGTTAGTTTTTGTTCCTGTACTTTGCTGCCTTCACTTTCCTACTATGCTAGTTTAGCAGTGTTCAGCTTTTAACTAGCATTTGTTTACAATGCCTTTATAAAGAATGAGAAAACAACATTGGGAAAGAAGGGAATAATTCCCTTGGCAAGAAAATCTTAGTATAGGTGATCAAGAGTCAGGTGAATGAATTGGGGAAGGAATGAAGACTGGAAAGAGTTCCTGAAAGCAACAAAAAATAAAATGGTGGCAGATAATAGATTGGAAGAGTTTGAACAGTATATAAAATATTTCTGCCATTAACCTCAAGAAACTAACAACTTCTGTGGTCCTCATTAGAAAGAGGTGTTCAGTTCTGAACTAGTATTGGTCATACTTTCAGTTGTGAACTAATTTCCTCTCTGTGCTTTTTGTTACTCACCTGATTGTAAATTCTTCAGACTGGGAACTGTATTCTGCATAGTAGCTGGCAGTAGCATCTTTCCAAGGAAAGTAAATGGGTGGTGAAGGAAAGAGTGAGTAACCTTTCTTTAAAGTTACAACCTGCTTCCTTTGTTTTGTGTAAAGAATCTTCAGTGCCACCTGCAGAAGGTTAACTAGCACCTCATAATGTTCCTGATGCTTTTAATTACTAAGAGTTTAAAATAAACCTGTAGATTTACTAGTGTGGCTTATGAACAATTAGAAAATTCTGTTATCTATATAATTTTGTCCATCCAGAAATGCTCGAAAGCAAGAAATCATAAAAGCTTACAGAAAGCTGGCATCCCAGTGGCACCCTGATAACTTCCAGAGTGAGGAAGAAAAGAAGAAAGCTGAGAAAAAATTCATTGATATAGCAGCTGCTAAAGAAGTCCTCACTGACCCAGGTAATGATTGTTCTTATGAAGTGACTTAATTTTTTTATTACTTTTTTTTTTTACAGTAATGTAAAAATGCAGCAAGTCTAAATCACATCAAGCATTACAGTTTCCTTTTTTCCATTTCTCCCTTTATCCATCTTGAGAAAGCAATGCACTAATGCAACAGACTGGATGCAAGTATGAAGTCAGACATAAACTGGGATTGTTTCAGTGACTTCCATTTAAAGTCAAATAAAAATTACTATTTTAAAGGTCTCTTTTGAGGATATCATCTTGCAGAGATTCCCAGGACTGATAAACTATGGAGTTGCTTACTTGAAGGATGTGGGTGTCTCCTTCTGCCTAAAACTATTGCAAACCAGGCTTAGTTTTGCTGGCCCAGTCCCTAGGAGCAAGGAGCCCTGTCACATCTGTCTGTCTGCTGTTCAGCTCTGGAAGAGGGTGAAAAAAAAGTGAAGAGTGCAGTCACTCTCCTGGTAGACCCTGTGGTGACTGGGAGATCCAATGTCTGTCTCACCAAGTGGTGAACAGAAGGGGCTGGACCATTTAGTCAAGAATGTAATAAAAAAAGAGTGATGTGGTTATCTCACCGCCTTTTAAAAATATAAGCAAACAAACTCAGACATCTGACAAAAACACACACACCCCACACCCCAAAGAATTGCCAAACAAAAACCCCAATCCTAAACCAGAGCCATCTGTTCAGTTGTTGTCTTTAAGTTGTTCCTGTATGATTACTGGAAAGAGAAGCATCTAAAAGATGTAGGTACCAGAGTCTCCCATTTTTTTTTTTTATTTATTTTCAGCTGTTCAGGGTCATTGAAGTGATAATTAGGCAGATGGGCTCAGACTTCCTTGGAGGAAGGGGAGGGAACTTGAGAGTCATGAACTGTATGACAAACACTTCTGGTCAGAAAACTTTTTCTGTGTTAATGTGATCTTTGTTCCTAATTATGTTCAGAAATTAAGAGTTTTATATACCGGAAGTGTTTGAGATGCTGTTCGCCTTGTCAACATCTCCAGGACTGGTTCATCTACTTTCTTGTAGACACCATTTCTTACGGCATGTTTACCATTGCTGTCAAACCAACTGGGCAAGAAAGTAACACTGGTTGTATTTGGCTTTTGTATTGCCATCTGTATTGCTTTCAGTCTATTCTTACTGCAATGATATTCTCTCCTTTTATCCAGATATTTTTCACAGGTCATTTTCTAGTTTTAGTATGTAAACAAAAAGTATGAAGCCTGTGGGACCTCTGAATCTCTGAGCTTTGATTTGCAAGGTTGTTATCATAGGCCATCTTCCACATTGTTTCCCCCGCCAGTCTCATGATTTCCCCCTGACTCCTTTGCTTCTCTTCTCTGCCTTGATAACATGGGTGCTCTGAAAAAGTGCTGTGTGATCAAAAACCTGTGGCGTCTGCAGGCTGCTTGAAAGTTCTGTGTGGATGTAAATAACAGAGTAGTGGTGTAGCCTGTGACTTGTCTGTGGGTCTTTAGGAAGGCTTTCAGCTTTGTCCTGCTGGAAAAACATATGTAAAGAACATGTGTTTGGACTCCAAGCTGCTGTGCCCTAGACAGCTCTGCCTGAGTGGTATGTGGAAGACATTGAAGAAGTTTGGGGCTCTGTGTTCTGACTTTTGTGCTGTGGCTGAATGACAAATGTTGGAATTTACTGGTTGCAAAGAACTGGCAGAGTCTGTCCTCAGACCATCCTGAGTGGCTGCAGCTATGAGAGAATAGGTGCAATAAACGCATGGAGGACAAAATGTCCCAATTATCTGTGGGACACAGCTGGTGAAAGTGCAACTGTCTTGTCCCTGTTGAAATTCATACCTGTCCTCTTGGACAGCCAGGTACTGTCTTGCCTTTTTTAAAACTGAATGACTTGTTTGAAGTTTTTTGAACATTTTTTTACAGAGTTAGTCTCTTCTCCTTTGTCAGTGTTCTGGACAACTTTGAAAAACTCAAAGTGATTAGGTTCTACAGATGTTGCCAATACAAGTGATATTTGCAGGTCTCTGGCCAGGGGCGGGGATGGGGTCTGAACTGGTTATTGGTCAGCAAAGATGCTTGGTGTTAACTGCCCTAACTACTGTGCTGTGATTCAACCTTGGTTTTGTTTCCTTCAGAAATGAGGCGGAAGTTCGATGCGGGAGAGGACCCACTGGATGCGGAGAGTCAACAGGGTGGGGGCAACCCTTTCCACAGGAATTGGAACACGTGGCAAGGATTCAACCCTTTTGGTTCTGGAGGAGGACCATTTACATTCAAATTTCACTTCAGCTAGAGCCAAGACTGTTTCTGGTGGCTGCTGCTGTTTTTTACTGAATTCGTTGAAAATAAATCTCTCAGTTCAAGACCCAAAAATCTTAATTTCTAATGTTGTCCTTAACCCAGAGTCTTACTGCACTAGAAGAAAGCTCCTTCTTTCTTTTAGTGTTCAGAGGGTTTGCTTTGTGGTGAACTTGACAAGCTTGTACTGGTTGGGGGGCTTTGTTACTGCCTATGTATTTGTTGTGGATATGCAGAACATGTTTATTTCTATGGATGGAGAAAACAGTAAGAAGCTACTTAGGACAACACTTAAACATAAATTTAGGACTCAAGTATATGCTTAAAGGTAAAAATGCATGTAAATATTTTTCTGAGTTGGGGCCTAATAAATATGGAAGGGGTAGTTACAGTAGTCTCTACGTTAACAAATTGTTAGTCATGCTCAGCAGAATGATCCATCTCTCAGTATTCTTAAAAGGAAACCCTAGTGACCACCTGCTGTATTACTATCGGCAGTGCCATGGGTGGGGTGAAGAAGCTGCGTACTGAATGAGACTGAACAACTGCTCTGGAAGAAGATTGCTTGTAACTAATTGTATTTGAAAATGTCTACTTGGTTTATTCATTAACCTGAAATGAATTGGGATGATTTCCTTGGCGGTAACTGTCAACTCTGAAAGTAAAAAAAAAAATATACCTGATGTTTTTAGAATGACTTTTTCTGAATGTGATTTGAGATGTTTAGGTATCATTTTTGAGTAGTTTGCACTTTAACAAAATACCTGCTTGAGATTTGAGCAAAAAATTTGATGTGACATTTCCCCAACTATGCAGTTACTTCTCTGTACATAAACTCAGAACTGATGCAGGTTGAGGCGAGTGTACTGCGGACTGTAGGAATACGATATTAACTCTATCCTTCCCCTGTAATGCAACTTCACTTCTGATGGGTGATGCAACAGTGAGTTAATACTGTGTAAAATTGTTTGAAGTAATTTTATGCTTCCTGTAACAGCGACAGTTCTGCAAAAACAACTGCCTGTGTGCAAAAAGAGGGACTCTAACTTTCCATTAGCCAAAAGTCTGGTTAATTTTTTCTTTATGCACATAGCTAAAATTGGTTAAGTGTATTGATCGAACTGTGTGAATGCGGTGTGAGGTATTACCAGGAGTGTAGCTGCTCTGAATGAATAGTCTTTTCATTCTGTAATGGAATATATCATAATTACTGATGAGTTTTGTCAGCAGCCATTTTCTTAGAATGTAAGAATTGCATTTCATCGATGTTTTTTGTGATTGGATTTTAATTGGAAAACAATAATCAGCTGATAGGAATCTTCTCTCACTTTAACTCACAGCATTTGAAAGCATAAGCAGCCTCTGTAAAACAAATGAAATTAGCAAATAAGGTCTTCAATCTGAAAGTGAGTTTTTTATTACTGTAATCGAAGTTGCTAATGAAGCATAGCCCTTGTCTCCTGCCTCAAGTACTTTACAAACAATCGTGAGACCCCGTGGCTTCATAAAATGTTTTTCAACAACAATATAAAGGTCAGTGTTTGTTCAGCAGAAATTTATCTTGGAGCTGAAGAATGTGTGTACTGATTTCTAGCAGTTTACGTTACAAAACCACCCCAGCAGCCTGCTAAACTCCAGTGTCAGATATTTTCCAAGTTGAATGACTTCCTAGAACTTCGACTTCTGCTTTTGACCTGTCTGAAAGCTTTTTGTTTAAACTCTGTAGAAGATGCTTGAGATGCTGCTCACGCTGTTCTAGGCTGGCGTGGTTCTTGCAGGACCTCTGGGGCTCAGACATAGGAACCTGCTGCACAATAAATAACCTGTTACCCCCAGGTATCAGCTGATGCAGACAGCTCTCTGCGTGTGTTTTTTGCTTGTGGTAAGGAAAAGATTGGTAGGCAGCTTTCACATACAACAGCTGCTCGTGGCTGTCACCAGCCCGCTGTCCCCAAGGGGTGAGCTAGGCTCAGCCGCGCTTGCTGCAGGCCGGGGGGCTGCTGCTGTGTGGATTGCTGGTCATGTGTGTCTGTGTGCGAGCTGCTGCTCTGTATAAACTCTCATATTGCCTTGTTCGCTACAGGAGGGGCTGTTTTTAAATTACTATTGAATGACCAGTGTAAGCAGTATGTCTCATTCTGTATGTACAGGAGTGTAGTTCAGTTTTGGGAAGCCACACTGAACACCACAGACAGTTGTTTGCGTGCTAGGGAGGTGCTAGAAATGATCCGCCTTCTTTTAAAGGATTACCTTTGTTCAGCTTTTTAGTTCTCATCCCTTTCCCTTCTCTGTTTTTTAAAAGCTGTAGCCAAGGAAATTGTTCCCTGATTTTTTGTTTCTTTCTTTTAGGGAAAGAGTAAGATGGTCCCTCAAAAGTAAAGTATTCATACAAGGCAGTGCAGATCTGTTTCCCTAAGGAGATGGACACTTCTGCTCTACACTGGAAGCAGGCAGGAACAAAAAGGATTAAGTTTATTTTGAATGTGAATGGGAAAGGGAAAATTAAGGGGAAAAAAAAGCTTGAATATAGTCGCAAAAGAAGGAAGATGATTAATGCGTGAATGCTGTTCATAGATTTTTGTCTGTGGAAGACTGGCTTGAAAACAAAAAGTGACAATGGAGAACAAGGCTTTCTGATATCAAGCAGCTGCTGATTACAAGAAGTGTTACAATTCGATGGTGGTATTAAGGGAACAGATGCTGTTTTTTAGCTCTAAGGTACTTCTGAAAATACAGAAAGACAAAGGTGTGTTAGAAAGCATTTGTGTTTTAAGGCTTTCCAGATACAGCGCTGCATTTCCTGATGTGACTAGAAGACAGCACCAGTTACACACAGCATTAATGGTGCAAGCGATGTACAAGGAATCTGAATCCACCTTATTTATTTATTAGTGGGTGTCTGTAGTGCAATAATGTTCAATAAATGAACATTGAAATAAATGTCTTGGTAGTTTGTAAACCCCGAGATGTGCATGAAGCATCATTACAATAATTGGCCTATATGTAGATGCAAACTTTCAGTTTTAATAAACTAGTTTCCAACTTGTTTTAAAATGAAGGTGCAGGGGAGCGTATTTTACTTGATACATGCTTAATACTGATGTATTAATAAATCAGTATTAAAAGAAATTCAAAGTGAATTATAAACTTCAGAGCTCAAACTTGTGACATATGCTGAAAACGTGTCAGCTTGAACTTTTTTTAAAAAAATAAAGCTTGCTATTGTTTCAGTTTTCAGAGCAGTGTTTGGAATAATTATTCTTCTGTTTAGGGCTGTGATTTGTAGGAGCTTTGCTGGAAATTAGCCAGTATAGCATAGCAGGTTAGTTGTATTTAAAAGTGCCTTATTGTAAGGTATTGTTAGTTTGCTCTGTAATACACACTTCTATCCATAAAATAATAAAAAAATGGGAGAATAATTTTTTTTTTGCCCTCGGCAAAACTCAACGTAGCTGTTTTATGTTTTAAGAAGGAAAAGTAAAGCTAGCCAGAGATTTATCAAATGTTTCAAATTATAAAATGTCTTTATATGAAATCATAAATCTAAAAGCAACTTTTTTCTAGAACTGTGGGAATTATTTTATGGTATTTTTCACAATAAAGATATTTATGATGACAAGAAAGCACTGCAGTATATTTGTCTGCCCTTCTTTCCTCATCCTGCTCTCCAAATCTGAAGTTAGAGCTGTGCAGAAATGCAGTAAAAGGCTGCTGAAACGCTGGCCTGGGGGGCTAAACTTCTTGAGCAGCTCATGCAAAAGTTGTCAGGCTTTAACAAGTAAGGTACAGGAGTGAGGAAGAATTTGGGTACCTCACACTTGGGTTTCAAAACTTAAGTTCTCCTCCCACCAGGTGGGAGGCAGCTCGTTCGTGCCCGTGGGTGCAGCCCCTCTCCTTGCAGCTGAGCAGGTAGCTGGGGCACAGCAAGGTGGGATGTTGTGAAACTGTCCCAGACCGGTACCCGGGCCTGTGCTGGGGGCAGGATCAAATCGCAGCTGGTCTTTCTGCAGAGCAGCCTGTCCCAGGAAAGCCTCTGGCCTCTGGCTTGCTGGTAGCAGGAGGGGAGAGGAGTCGCCTCCTCTGTTCTCTCTCCTGGGGCTGGAACTCGCGGCCAGCCGGCAGTTCTGGGGAGAGAAGGTGGGTGGCTGAGGGTGTGGGGGACGTGCAAGATGAGCATGTAGTGTCTGTGATTTCCAGGCAATGATAAAAACTACCTCTAAAGTAGTAAACTGATTTTTTTTAATTTATTTTCAATCCAGTGAATGTTCCAACAGGGCTGATAAAAGTACTGGAACTTGGAAGGCAGGTGAGAAGTTGAGCCTGCAGGAGTTACTTATGCAGCAGCCCTTTCAGCAAGACTTCAGTGCTAGCTGAAGGGAACAGTGCGACTCTACATGAGGCTGGAGCAGGAACTGTCATGGGCCTCTGAGCAGGCCATGCTGCCAGAGTACTCCAGTAGAGCTTGAGCTCCATCGGTAACTTAACCAAAGCAAGCATCAGTTCATACACAGCACCATACATCACTACCGAGGGCTCAATCTGCTCAACAGTGTAACTCCTACGTAGCAGTATGAGAAATGCCATGGAGTTGTGTATGCGGTGTCTGTAAAAGTGACCATCCTACCTGAAGCCATCCAGAGCACGTATACAGGCAAGAATGACAATGTGAATAAGTAAATGAGCTCCTTATCAGTCATCAAAACATGCATTTTGTTTTTTCTAAACTCTTCCTTAGAAATTGTTAATTTTTAGGAATTCCTGGTTGGAAAAAATACTGTACGTGCTGGCTTGTGTGCGTATGCAGCGGTGAAGGGCACAGATGCATGTGCAGCTGGTGAGAACAAAGGTGTCCAAATTTAAAATTGGCTTGCAGCTGCCAAATGTGTGAAAGTGAGATGAGATTTTTGGTAGGTAGTTTGTAGCAAGGGATTCTTTAAGAGGCCAAGTTTCATGTGAGATTCCTTAGTTTGGTTTCCCAGTGTCTGTTTGTGGAAGCCTGTGGCTGACTTGTCAGATAGCAGCACTTCAGACTTTCTTGACCTCAAAAAATCCTAACAGTAAGAGGTGCAGTTAGGGTCCAGGAGAGGATTTTGAAATCTCAGCTCTGTGAGAATTGGGGAAGGAGTTGCAGCAGGAGTGCAGGGTTGGTTTTGGGGTGGTTGTGTGGTTGGTGGTCTTTTTTTTTTCTTCAGGCTCACAGCTGTAAGCAGAATATTTGCCTAACTGAGGAGAGGAGGGACTGTATAGAGACGGGAGAAGCTACAGGTAGTCACAGCTGAGCAGCTGTTTGTCAGGGTTTATAATGTTGCCAAGTTCTAGCAGTTTTCAGAACTTGGGAGAGTGGTGTATCTCTGGCATCATGCTCCTAAATGTGAAAGCTTTTTGTATGGGCTAAACATATTTCCCTACTGTTGCAACTGCAGGACTCGATGTGCTTCAGAGAATGTCAGATGCCTCTATAGGATAGCTCCTGTTAAGGGTGGTAAAGAATTCAAAACGCGCTATTACACAGCATATCCATATGAGAGGTAAGTCATGGTAGAATGACAGCGTGCCTCATGCATTTGAATGAGTAGCTAAAATTACAGGCCCTGACAAAGGCTGCTGCTAAATGGTGTTACATACATATGGACAAAGAGAACATTTACATTTCAGAGAAGATAGTTACACTAAAGGAAGTGTGAGTCAACTTGACCATGTGTTATCAGTCTGTTAAGTACCCGGAAGCAGAAGTTAAAAACAGTGTGACAAATCAACTTTGGGGGAAGGAAAGTGACCTTGCTGAAAGTGCCTTTGCTCTTAGGCCCCTAAGGGAGAAGTTTTGGTTTCTTCTCTTTCACCTGCACCATTCCGTGCTGAAAGGAAAGGGTCTGCAAGCAAAGACACTTTCTTTCCACTAAGTCCAACATCGGCATAGGATGCAGTTTGTACTATTAGAGTGACTACCATAACCCTTTCACGAGGTGCAAATCTGGCTACTCGCTGTGCTGGGCAATGCCTACGTACTGCTCAATCATATTGTACGATGCTGGGAAACTCTGACCTTACAGTACAGAAGCTTTGGAGATAAAGCACCTCAGATGTGTAGAGAAACCAAGAACTTTCAGACCTCCAATTTTATATACATTCATCTGTTTAGAAATATCTCTTGCAAAGGAAGAAAATAATTAACTGATAATAAAAGTTCAGTAACCATGTAACTAACTACACAATTTTATTAATGTGTTTTTCATGCATGTCTAGGTTAAAAAAAAAAAAAAAAAGGTGAGTGCAGCATTGATTGATTCTGTTTTTAAGCCATGAATATAAATAATTTTTTGTGTTTAGCAAAAGACACTTTAAAAACCATCTGCATCTCTATATTTTACAGTTGTCAGAGCCCAAAATCTGGTCCAGAGTGACACACTGACAACTGGAGAAAGCTAGTTATGTGACATCCTTTTCAAGATTTCTGGCAATGTGTGATGAGAAGCTGCGAGAATGCTTCATTCAAAAGAGTGATAATTCAAAGGTAAAAGGGCCAAGATCTCCATCAGCAGAGAAAGAAATTTAAGTTCAGCAATAATGACTGTGGCTATAACTGTGTGACTCCTGCCTTTGGGAGAGGAACTCACAAATCAGGTTAAGACTTTCAACACGCAGTTGACTGAGAAGTGTCAGAAGGACCTGCTGAGATGTGTCTGACATTCAGCATGAAATCAGTGCTAACATGAGTGGTGTCTTGAGGCTGTCCTCGTACAGGATAGTCTCACTGTGAGCGTGCCCTCTCAGGCGGTGGGAGATCTGAGGTCTTCAACAACTCTGCTTCACAGGGATTTGAATCCATGCATCTAAAGAGTGCATCTGAATGAGGTTCACCGTAAGACCTGGGCAAAATGCTGATATTCACTGAATCAGTGCAAAAGTGTGAGGAAAGGGAGTAGCTTTGAGTCTCCTGCCCCCTGAAGAAGCCCTTCCTTGAGAGGAGCAGGGCACGGACTCCCCACTGCTTTTCATCAGTCTACGTTACATAGTCACTGCTGCTAAAGTTTGAAGTGTGTCAGGAGCCAAGACCAGACTTCAGTGTGGTGTACGAGGAGTGTTTGCCTTATGGCAACCAGAGTGTCAATATGTCACTCTAAAAGTAGCTGCTAAAAAACCAGATACTGGAGAAAACAATGCATGCTGGATGGCAACCCGCTGTCCTGCTGGGAAGCAGATTATCCCATACATGGCACTACACAATGTAGTAGAGACGTGATGCTGCATTAAACCAATTGAGGATTTGATCTAATATATGTTTTGGTACTTCCACTCAATTTTTCTTGCAAATGCTTAAATCCAGACTTTGAACAAGGAATAAATCATAATGACAAAGCATAAGCAGGAAAGAATAAGCCATCTATCTAGCTTGGAAAAGTAAAACAGCATTCCACCCGAAACCAGATAGGGAGCTTTATCAGCTGTAGATACCCATGGGCGAGATCTGCAAGAAGAAACTGTACCAGCAGTATAGAGTGGATACCACAAAGAGAAATGACATGTGCTTGTAATGGGTGACTTTCTGTTAAGGGACACTGAGGTGCCCATCTGCCAGGCTGACAGGGAGGCACAAGAGCTCAGCTCCAAGGTGTTGCTGAGAGGGTGCCACAACTTGCCAGGAGCACAGACCAATATCCATTGCTACTCTTTCGTGTGGGCACGAATGACACTGCAAGCTGGAGCCTAGGCAGAATCAAGGAAGACTGAAAAGCCCTGGGGCTACAAGCATAAAGTATTGGTGCCCAAGTCATCTCTTCCATTTTGCCAGTTAGAGGAAAGGGTGCAGCCAGAAGAAAACATATAATGCAGATCAACTTCTGGCTTCATGGCTGGTGCCGTCGTGAGGCTTTTGGGTTTTATGACAATGGGACATTCTTCAATGACTATAGCCTGTTAGGGAGCATTGGGATCCACCTGTCTGGGAGAGGCAAGGGAAACTTTGGCAGCAGGCTGACCAACTTAGTGAGGTGGTCTTTGAACTGAAGGACTTGGGGGGTGGGGTCCAAAGTGGCAATGCTCATGCCATTGCAGCCAAGTGGGGAATAAGCCAGGCCGAGCAGAGCAGCAGCAAATGTTCTTTAGCTGCTTCCCAAGATGAGAAGCAGATCAACCACCTCAAGTGTATGTATACCAGTACATGCAGCCTGGGGAAGAGGAGGAACTGGAGCTCCACATCCAGTCAGAAAGTCATGGTATCATAGGAGCATCTGGACACATGGGACAACTCACATGACTGGAGGATCACGATGGATGACTATAGGCTGTTGTTTGGTGAAGACTGGCAGGGAAGAAAAGGACGAGTAGTCATGCTCAATGTTAAGGAGAACCTTGAATGTATGGAAGTCAACTGTGGTGATTGTGGAAGCCCTATTGAAAGCCTCTGGGTCAAGATCAGAGGGGTCATCTCCAAGGGGGAATCTTACAGTGGGCATGTGCTACCAACCTCCAAACCAAGACAATAAGGCAAATGAAGCAATATTTGAGTCACGTAAAGCAAACTTTCAGTCAACAGAACATGGTTCTTATGGGTGACCTTGACTACCCAGACATTTGTTGGAAGAACAATACAGCAGCTCACACTTCATCCATTGAGTT